CCTCCCCCTAGCGGTAAAAACCCCCGGAAACGGCCGGCCCCTACACTCGGGCGAGAGTGCAGAGCTTCAGCTCAGATGAAGGAAGTTGCCCATAAAATAAAACTAAGATGTAGATGAAAATAATATGTAGGGGAGAGAAGAAAAACAAGAGAAACTTGTTATATATTTTTTCTTATTATTTTGAGCTCAACATATGGATATATATATAGGGTTGGAAAAGACGTTACAAAACCCGTAATTAATTCTGTAACGTTCGTCATAAATTTTATAACGTTCCCCATAATTATATATCCGTTACACATATTTTAATTGCATGTTTTAATTACAATATTTATTATAATTCATGAAGGCAAAAATGCCTTTTGTTAACAAAATATCTAACAAATCTCAAAATGGCTATTACTAATTTTTAAAGTTCTCTCTAATTATTAGATCAAAACTTTTAAAGTTATGATGAGAGTTGAAGTTTGTAGTTTTATAGTAATTTTAACATACCCCTGCAGGTTGAGTGCCCTTTTATATGGGTCAAAACCTAGACTCACACGACGGTATTAATTTTTAAAAAATCTGTTTTAAGTTTGTGGACCGTGAGATTTGAATCTGGATTGTTTTGATATTATCTTAAATTGAGTCCACCGCTTCTAACCATTAGACCAAAACTCTGACGTTATGATAAGCTTCAAAGATTATAATTTCATATTCTAACATACCCCAAAAACTCCCGTTTTAAAAAAAAACTTAGCCGCCGCTCAAGATATTATGACAAGTGTTATCTTGGGACGATTGAGCTAACTCCTTTTATCCTTGCTTCATATATACTTGTTGCACAGAGTGAAAGAGCAGGAGTGTACACTTGTGCTTTCTACACATTTATACTTTATAATGCGGATTTTTTTTTAAATAGAACGATTTTGTTAAATATTTAGTAAAATCGATCTTTTTACTAAATATTTACCAAAATCGACATCTTTTTGGCCAGACCAAAAAGAGGTCGATTTTAAAAAAACGTCCAGCTGAAAGCATGCGTTACTAGTAGTCCTGTATGTTTTCAAAGGCACTAATCTCCTAGAAAACATACGGGACTAGCAGTCTCGTATGTTTTCTGAAAGCACTACTCCGTGATTAGCACACTGAAAAAATACGGGACTAGTAGTCCCGTATGTTTTCTGGGAGGTGTTTTTTAAAATTGATCTCTTTTTGACATGTTGGCAAAAAAGAAGTCGATTTTGCTAAATATTTAGAAAAATGACTGATTTAGCAAAATCAGTCTATTTTTAAAAAAAATTCCTTATAATGCAGATCATGGACGTATTTAGATCACGATTAATAGTCTAGATTTGTGTCAGGTCTGTGATACACAAACTAAAACTGTGAACAAACATGAAAGTTTTGTTTGCTGTATTTTATATTACCAAAGAAAACTCAAATAAAAGTATAATAAGTTTTGGAAAAAAATCAAATTGAAAATACAATATCTATCTATAACTTTTAAATAAAATAGCGGAATTAATAGTAAGAATGCAACATGTGCTAGTCATTCCTAAACTGTGCGTCTAGCAAAAAATTATTATATCCATCCCCTTCTTGCTTCTATGATATATTCATATCTAGCTCACTTTTTATTTTTTTAAAAAAATACCGAACCTGTTTAACTATTTGGTTTTGATGAAAAATATTATTAAAGATGATTAACTTTGAATATGCATTTGTGGCATCATCATAATATTAACAAAGAAGAATTTTTCAAAATAGCCCCGTTTCAATTTTTTTTTTTAAATCGACCGATTTTTTTTTTATCAAAACTGACTCGTTTTATGTCACGTCAACTTAATCACTTTCCTAAATAATCGGGGTTAGGAGGGTGTTAAATCCCAATTAGAAACCTTAAACCCTAAAAAATTATAAGAAAATAATTAGACTAACGTGACAAAAAACGGACCGGTTTTAGTAAATAAAAAACGATCAATTTAAAAAAAAATTAAAATAAGGCTGTTTTGAAAAATTGTTCTATTTAACAAACAACAACATTACTGTCATACTAACTTCTTCCTTCGAGGGGCATATTTGTAACTCCTCAATCCCACCAACTACTTACTCAACTAAAAAGCTCCAGAACGAAAAAGGCCAAAAAAAAAAAAAAACAGAGAAGCAGCCTCCTCTCTCTTCTCTCTCTTCGATTCTCCGCTCCAAGGCTCAAATTTCAATTCCCTCTTCGATCCACCCCCCCCCCCCAAATGGCCAGGCCTTCCTCTCTCTCTCCTCCCTCTCTTTCCTCCCTGGCTTTCTCCACGACTCCGTCCACTCTCTCCTCGCGCTCGCACGGCCTCCCGCCGGCCTCCTCCCAAAACGTCCGCTCTTCTCCCTCGACCCCGCCACCGCCCTCCTCACCGTCAACCTCGACAGCCCCTGCATCGCCGAGTACGACCGGAGCCCCGTCCGGTTCGATCAGCAGATCAACGCCAACCTCACCTTCGGCGGCCTGAAGGGGGTCAGGGGCTTGACCCAGGAGGAGCTCTTTCTCTGGCTGCCCATCAGGGAGATCCTCGTCTCCGACCCCAAATCCGGGGTCATCCTGTTGGACATCGGGATGGCTCACAAGCAGATGTCGGTCTCGGTCTTCGAGAACCCGCCGGATTGTAAGGAGGATCGAGGTAAAGATCGGATTTTGATTGAGGGGTTTTGCTCGTTGGCGCCGATTCGATGTGGGTTTTGGTTTGATTTGGATTTGATGGGGTTTGGGGCTTGAATTAAGGGTTTTTTTTTTTTTTTGTTTCTGGTGCCGGATTTTGAAGTGATGTCGGGGCCCGGGGGGTTTTCCAGGGTTGGGCTATGGGTTTGGGGATTCTTGCTCTGGGGCTTAAATTTTTTATCTTGAATTTGCATTTCAACGTATAAAAGGGTGTTCTTTCTTTTATGAATTATTTACAAGGTGAAGCTTATTAAATTTTTTGCCTGCAATACTTTTAGTCTTGAATTTACTTGTCCAATTAATTTATTTTCCATGACTTACTTGTTTTTATTTATTAAGCTAATGGTCGCGTTGATGATTTTATGGGCATTTTTCCATTAAGCCCTTGTCATAATCGCTAATAATTTTCAATGTTTTTTTTTCTAAATTGAGGTTGTAGTATGAAATTTTTTGGCGATCTCATTTCATAACTCTAGAGATGCTCACTCTTTTGAAAAAGTAAAAGACAATACAGTACCATTATCTATCTCTTTAACCATGTAACTAATTGTACATCGTATATTTTGTATTGCAGACCTGAACCATAACCAAGTTGGATTCAGGAGCAGAGGTGGAAACCCCCCCCCCCCCCCCTCCCCCAAAGCACAAAAAAAAAAGAAGAGGTTCCAACAGTTTTCAAGCGTGTCCCTGTTTTTCTTGTATTTTCCGCTCTTATCAATGGAAATATTTTGTTTCTTATATGTGTGCCCATCTCATAAAAGTGTGTAAATTTCCCCTAAATATTTACAATTACAATATCTTGGTTCGTTGGAGTTGAGCATTGTGTCAAATGTTTGCTTGAAGGATGTACATATTAATATTGTCTTGTGACAAGTAGTAGAATGTTTGGTTTTTTAAAGTATTTGCCAGGTTGTCACCAGTGCATGAGGATTGATAATTTCCCATGTTGTCATTTTGTTTGCAAGTCATCGGTATTAGTTGTATTCTTTCAAATTTATTATATAAAATTGTGCATAATTCATAGTTTTTTTTTATTAAGCCAATGATTGGCATGATCTTCAGACAGAGCATGTTTAGCTGTTCGTGAGAATACTTGTTGAGAGAATCTTGCACATCTGATATTTTGGGGTTTGTTTTTTTAAGGGAGAAGAAGACTATAGTATAGGCAAGATTGAATCCTAGATATTTTTAAACTGAACATAGTGTTAAACTCATTTGATTGAAAGTGAAAACAAGATTGAATCCTAGATATTTTTAAACTGAACATAGTGTTAAACTCATTTGATTGAAAGTGAAAAAGTGATGGAAATCATATCAGAACAGTAATTACTGAACATAGTGTTAAACTCATTTGATTGAAAGTGAAAAAGTGATGGAAATCATATCAGAACAGTAATTACTAATTAGTCACAAAATTACCTTATAAAGGAAAAAAATTCTCTTGCTCTGAGTGTAAGGAGAGTGAAAAAGTTACAGGGGATTTATCGCAAAATAACTCTTGATTTTAAATTTGAGTTATAACAACAAATGTTTTGTTTTGTTTTTAAACTAAAACGTGGTAATATCAAACACAAATACATATTATCAATGATGACAAATAAACTTCAATGTATCTGTTTAAAACGTTGTCACAAAATAAAATTGAACTTCGACCGTAACAAGTTCTTCATCCCTAGCAAACCAGACATCCAAAATCCTAAATCATTATCCCGAATTCACTAACAAAAATAAACAAAGTAAATATAAAAAAAAAAGGCAGAAAACATTCAAACTCCCTTCGACTTATTAGCTTTTCAGAGGAGGATCAGATTTAGCAGTCAAATCCCTCCCCATCCCCTTATGATCAAAATGTCACCCATGATATTCAGGATGCCGATGAGCCGCACAGCACATCAACCCTCATCGACACCGAAATCAACCCCATGTAATCTAACTGGCATATACCGATGAGTTGGACGGTACATCAACCCACATCGGCGTTGAAATCTCGATGCAAGCCTCAACCTCTTGTTGCAGCAACCACGACGTTAGGTCTCAACAGCATCAGAATCAACGTTAGTCGATTTCTGGCTGATCTTCGACTGAGCAGTGATGCTCAGAGGCTTCGGCCTCTTGCTGACTACTGAGGGTGAAGTCTTTTGTACCACAGCCGTTGGCGCGAAGTTGAGGACTCTGTTCAAAATCCATTGTGATGTCACGTAGACATGCATAGACGAGAACTAGTTATGAGAAAATTTGAAGCTCTTTTTGATCAGAGAAGACTCGGGTATCTGGATCCTAACAGACTCGGGTTACAATTACTAGCAAGAATTGTACTTGTTTCATAAACTGACAGTTTCAAGGATTTTTTTTTTATTTTTTTTTAAGATAGATATCAAGTTATCTTCAAATTCTCTATCCGAACTTTGTCAGGAATTTAATTCTAGTTTATGCTTTGATTGAAAGAATCCTAACCGATCCCAAATTTTAGTGCTCATATAAATACCCTTGATGCCTGTTTGTCTCTCGTGATCATCTCTTCCCTCCCTTTTCTTCATCTCAATGGAGTTCCGCCGAGAAGAAGAAGCCAAGAAATCTATGGCAGAAGCCGAGGAAAGATTCAAATCCGATGACGTATTGGGCGCAATCCAACTTGCGAAAAAAGCGCAATGTCTCTACCCATCCCTCCCTCACCTCTCCAACTTCATCGTCGCCCTCCGCGTCGTCCTCATCGCTGGCTGCATGCCGAGGAACGACTCGTTGTGGCATGCTGTTCTCGGATCCAACTCCACCGACTGCTTCGAGGTTGTCAAGAACAAGCATCGTGAACTCTGCGACCTGACGCTCCCGCCGCAGACCCAGCCTTCAAGCTCGTGCATCAAGCCTGGGACGCCCTCAACAGCAAACCAAGGATCGATGCAACGGAGAACACAGATTCGACAGAGTACTGCACCAGCCTAAAAGGAGCAAAGAAAGCGATGGCAGAAGCCGCGGAAAGATTCAAAGCCAGCCAATTGCTCGAAGCAATGGTACTAGCCCAAAAGGCGAAAACTCTCTACCCTTTTCTCCCTCACCTCGACAGCTTCATCGTCGCCCTCCGCGTCGTCCTCATCGCTGGCTGCATGCCGAGGAACGACTCGTTGTGGCATGCTGTTCTCGGATCCAACTCCACCGACTGCTTCGAGGTTGTCAAGAACAAGCATCGTGAACTCTGCGACCTGACGAATCCTGACAGGAATCTGAACGCTGCTGCTGAGGCTGCGTTTAGGCTCGTGAACCAAGCTTGGGATGCGCTCAGGGATCGAGTTCGAGTTACTACTGTGAACGCTAACTATATTCGTCATCCGTATGGCACTCCACCGGCACCATTGTCGGCATTCCTGAGGATGAGTACTCGAGCTGAGCTGACGGCAGAACTCGGATCCATACTTTTAGCTTCGATTAAAAGTTGTTTTTGTTTTCATTCATTATGGGTTTAGATCTTTGTTTGAAAATGAATAAAGTCTAGTTTTTTTTTTTTTGCCCTTGCATTTTCTTTTTCTTGTGTGATTAATTACTACTGGATATTATCATTGTTTTCTAAAACATGATCTATTGTGATTTAGTGATCACCTCCAACGTTATTAGATTCCTAAATATGTGTTCTTGTGCTCTTCTTTTTTCTTATCGGAAAAAAAAAATCCTTTGACAGGTCTCTATCCAAAAGATGTTTACAAAAATTACATAATTAAAATATCCGGTAAATTCTAAATTTTAAAGCAGGAAAGACTAATATCCTCTAGGTATGTTTGTTTGAAGGAACCTAGACTAAAATTTCATGCCTACTATCTGAAAGTTTGAAACCCAATCACCAAATTATAAAAAAACCCTCGTTTTACTATAAAAATGCCTCTTTTATATGGATGACCAGGACAGCTTTGAATAATTTGAGATAAAATTATGATCTGATAGCTAGTCTTTTGTTCATATTATAGTTCAATGTACAAAGATACTAGAAGTACAAACACATAGTAGCATGATTTTGCCCTTGTAGGCTTGGATGATGCTTCAATCATGCAGAGGCATACTATTTTGTTTGCTGTGTGTTCATGGAGAAATTAAGTCATAGTGGCTTATCAAGGATGTAGGGTGTTATGACGACTGACAGAACACCCTACGTACTCCTCTATCAATCTCTCTCTCTCTCTCTTGAGCCCTGCGTTTTCCTTCATCTCAATGGAGCTCAACCGAGAAGAGGCCGATAAATCCATGTCGGAAGCCCAGGAAAGATTCAAATCCGATGACTTATTCGGCGCAACGCAACTTTGCGAAATGAGCACAGTCTCCCTACCCATCTCTCCCTGACCTCTCCAACTTCATCGTCACCCTCCGCGTTCTCTCCACAGCCCGTTATGCCTCACCGCCCCCAAACGACTCCTCCCATCACTCCATCCTCGGCACCAAAACCCACCGACACCATCCATGCCATAAAACACAAGTATCGCAAATTCTGCATCCAAACTCACCCAGCGTTTAAACTCGTGCATCAAGCCCGGAACGCCCTCAACAACAAACCAAAGGTCAAAAACAGTACTACTACTGCAACCGAGTTAAACCTAGAAGAGGCAAAAAGAGAGCGAGGGCAGAAGCCAAGGAGAGATTCGAAGCAAACCAGATAGTGGAAGCGATAGTACTAGCGCAAAGAGCATACAAACTTTACCCTCTTCTCCCTGGCCCCGACAACTTCATCGTCGACCTTCGCATTCTCGCTGTTCGTCAGAGGATGACCATTGTGCCCTCTGATAATTCGGCATGGCATGCTATTCTTGAATCCAAGAAGACAGACAGTTTCGAGGTTGTGAAGAACAAGTATCGCGTACTGTGCAAACGGACGATTTCTGTCGGGAATTTGAATGTTGCTGCAGAGACGGCGTTCAGGATTGTGAATCAAGCTTGGGATGCACCTATGAATCAAGTTAGCTCAAACTCCTGTCCTCAACGATGATACAGAATGTATTTATATACAAAATTAAAAGTTTCTACCCAACAAGAACTAGCTGCGTTGTTAAGCTACCTATGAGTAATAATTCAAGTTCTTAGATTTGAATCCTAGCCCCCACAAGAATTTAATTTTATAGAATACTTAAGACTGCATTGAAAAAAAACACTATGCGTTGAAAAAAAAAACATTCACTGAAAATACAATGGGACAGCATTTGGTGCTGAAATTATCACGTTCATGATATAACATAAAGCAACACAACACAAACAAATATTTGCAGAACATTCAGTAGAAACGAATTAATCAGCGAAATACAATTACAACAATCATCTGATAACTAAAAGATAACTGATTAAATAAATCATTAGCCACAAGCCCACAACTCTCTGACCATCAGAGTACATATTAACACTAGATTGTATTCCATATACCAGAACTCACGGCATAACATTCCGATAGAAACATATTCCATGTACAAAAGATTCACATTCCTTGAATAAAAATATAGACCATAGAAACATATATATGTACAAAATTTCAGAATCCACACACAAGTACTAATATAAGATATTGTCGACGGGTTTTTTATTTCATTCTATGAGGTTTCTGAATTATCCCCTCTTAACCAAAATGACTAGAATAGCAGCAACAGCTAATGCTAGGAAGGAAGCACCAATAGGAAGATCTCCATACTTATCCCAGGTGCTTGTAGTGGTCCTAGGGTTTGTTGTGTCCTGGCTCTCAGATAAGCCTCCCACGAAATCTTGAAGGAATCCAGTTATCTTGCTCACGATTTCGGAGACCTTCACTTTGATATTCTGCATGATATCAGTGAAGAATGCAGAATCTTCAGATGTTTCTTTCTCGTGAGATTCCATGGTTTCAGCGAATAGTCCTTCAAGGTTGATTACATTTTCTTCGGTGAATTCTTCAGGAGCAACGTTTGTTTCAGAAGAGAGAATGACTGCAAATAAAAATATCCCAATCAATCGGAATATAGAATGAGTGTGTTATAGATAAGTAAATTGAAATGCTCACCTGTCTGATGTTTGTTGTAGAATTCCATAACCTTATCATTTTTCATAACGGCATCCCAGACATTCTTATCACAAGCAAGTGAAGCAACAACAGACTGCAGATTGAAACGAGATTTTAATAAATTTCTCCATAATTCAAGGATATGCACATATCACAAGTAAATAAATGAATAAACACATAAACAATTCCCAATGCTTGTTTTATTTCCTTGTGATGGTCCAAAGATACTAATGTACATATAAATGTCAGAAATACTGCTTATTTTGATTGTTCAGGAAATTATACCTTTCACATTTTGTGTTTGAATGGCTTACAATTCAGTTAAAGGTCATTACTACAGAAATTGAAGTTACTCTAATGTATAAGAATTTCAGACTCTTATTAACATCCTTCATATCCCTTCATGTCCTTCTCACACCCAGAATGTTTCATCAATTTTAATACCAAATTTCCTGAAATTGACCACTCCGTTTTAACTTCCAAACCAGGGGACTAACTCATAAAATAAGAATTATAAGACAATTGAACACGAGATGGCAGCTGAATTCGACATGATTCTCCACATGCTTCCATCCAGATGTGAAAAGAAACACATTACATCCTATATATGCTTGCACTCACATCTACAACCCTACAAATTACAAGATTCATTGCGCCTACTTTTTCAACAAGATCAGTACAAAACTTAATATTCATGATAGCATGTGCTTGTATATGCGAATATAAATTCAGCAAGTAGATCTACGAAAATTTTCTTCAGTAGTTATCTACGAAGAAACTGTTGATAAAGCATCTTCCAATCAATTTACTATAGTTACATACGCAATCTATAAGTTTTGACAAAGTTAACTAGTATGTTCAAATTAAGTATAGATACTATGTTACTCAGACACGTCGTCTTAAGTGTCGTCTCCGTGTCCGACACGGCGTCTTAAGTGTCGTCTCTGTGTCCTCCGCAGACACGCCATGGACAGGTGTGGTTCAAAATAAAACCCGATTTCCTCATTAATTATATCCTAAACTAGTTTCTTTGGTAATAACAGGTTCAAAACCAATAGGTTTTTAAACCCGAAAACTGAAACTCATCACTTGAATTTAAAAAATACCCCCGGTAGCACGAACAGTGGACACGGCAAATTTTCAAAATGTAGCATATGGGGACATAACAAATTTGTAAAATGTTAGATATATATAATTTACATTAGGTCAAATATTGAATTAAAATATCTACAACATTTGTATTTTTTATTTCTATTATGTATAACAATTAAGAATCAAGTTAAATCAAACTAAGAATAGTTCTAACAACAAAATTTTAGTTTTGATCGCATGGGATAATATGATGGGTGTTTTTTAAACATTCAAGTAATAGATTTTAGTTTTCGGGTTCAAAAACCGATTGGTTTTGAACCCGAGATATTACCAAAGAAACTAGTTCAAGGTATAAGTAATGGAGATATCGAGTTTTGCTTTCAACCACACGTGTTCATGGCGTGTCCACGGAGAATCGGTGTCCGACACATGTCGGACATGGACAAGGCATTCAAAATCCCGTGTTTGAATAACCTAGAAAATACACATCGTATCATCCCATGTGATCAAACCTAAACTCTTATTGTTAAACCTTGTCATTAGTTTGATTTAACTTGATTCTTAATTGTTATACATAATAGAAAGAAACATACAAATGTTATAGGTATTTTAATTCAATATTTGATCTAATGTTAAACACACACACACACACATACATATGTGTGTGTGTGTGTGTGTGTTTGTGTGTGTGTGTATAGGTAAAGCTCCTACAAACTTAATGGATACGAGCACTTTTCAACCAAATTTTGAGATATGTGCCTTCGTTTGTATCACATGTTAGCACAAATCTCAATGCAAAATCAATGGACAAAAAAGTTAGTGCACAAAGAGCTCCTATCCACTTTAAGTTTATAGGAGCTTTACTCATATATGTGTGTGTGTACGTTTGTATATGTACATATATATCTATGTAGATATATGTATATATATGTACATATATATGTATGTATGTATATGTATATATAGTCATGTCCCTGTATCCTACATTTAACAAATTTATCATGTCATGTTTCTGTATTTGTGTCCATGTCCGCACCCGTGTCCATGCTACCTAGCATAGATAATTTCTTTTGCATATTTTGGTTATAAAAATGTAGGGAATATGTGGCTGTCTACAGAATGTCAGATGCGATGGAAACATTGCTTTGAACAAATTGACAAACTACATCTGATATGCATGGATGCTACAATTTAAAGGGATGCACTCCTATTGAGGTGCATGAAAGTGAGACACACTTTTCTTTTTTAATATTTCATATGAATAAAGTTCAACAATTTCACATCATAACATGTGCGGCGTTAACAACTAAAAATACTCTAATAAAGATCACGCAAATGTCTAAAACACAAACAGTTGATATCTGATCTATGAATCAAGATGGTATGGTTAAAGTATCCACACAGGCCATTCTATGAATGCACACTAGCATAGACCCCCTGAACAATCTAGGGATTACTCTTCATACGGTAACGTCACATTTTTATGAAGTTATACTAGCATAAGCTGAACTAAAGAAATCAAGGTCTGTCTGTCCACGTTGCTCTTCAATAGAACTCAACAATTCATGATAAAATGTATTTCATTAGAAGGTAACAATCAACCAAATAACTATAAGCTCTAAAGAAAAAGATAATGGAACTTCTAAGCTATGAATCAAGATGGCATATGCATTCATGCACCAGATTTTATGAATTTATATAAGCAAAATCTCACTGAAAAAGTTAAGATCTGGTTCAATCAATATATTCACCACCAAATAAAAAAATATATAACAATAGAAAAATAAAAAATATATACTTGAGCCTCAGGGCTTCCTTGCAGTAACGAGAAAGCTTGAACAACATGTTTGGACACTGAAGGAACTACTGCCGCACTTTCTCCAACATTTGACACCTGGCTAGCCTTGATGGAGTCCTCAGCTATAGCAGAAGAGAAGTATACCCTGAAAAAATAGCAACAGCTTTTCATCAACTGAAATTCATAACAATATGCAACTTGGCAATTAAAAGTGGCTTCTGCAATGCCTACATGAAAAGAATTTTGTGAACAAGGAGAATATTAAAATAGCAACCATGATGCGAAATTCCATTTTCTACCAAAAGCAGTTCAATATTCAGATGAGAAAATTAAGATTTTGACTGGCCTTGACCCAGGAAAATATTGATTAGCAATTTGGCCATCTCCATGTAATTCAACCATATCCATAAGTTTTACTAAAATAACTGAGAACAGGTCAAATCTAAATGACTGAGTAAAATAAATACAGCAAACAGGATCATAGTTAATTAATGTGCTAAACAATTATGCGTGATGAAACATCGGTCTGCTATTTACTATGCAAACACATTTGCTAAAATGAGAGACAACTATTACTGCGCATACGGAATGGTTGATGGATAACATTGCCTATAATTATGATATTCCTCGAAGTTATCTCAGTTTAACAGCACAAATTTATGCGAGAAAATGCATTCCAACTGTACATAGGAATAGTTATCATCTCTATACAAACTGACAATGCTGTTCTCGTGGTCATAAACCTAAGGAATGTAATACAGAGGCGAAAAAGGAACTTGGCATATTAGCAGAGGAATTAGCTCGCTCCAGGAACTCTACAAGTTCAAGGGAAATTTTCCCCACAAGGGAGAGGACGGTATGATTTATCCTGTTACCCGCCTTAATTAGACAAGAAACAAAGCACAGATAACACCAGCTATCAATTTGAAGTCTTCACTAATTGTAGAAAGGAAGTAATTTTAATTTCCTCCTAACAGATGTCCAAGACAAATGAATTCGGGCTGAAACAAGAAAGCTGGATATGAGAGCAATCATAATCTAAATCATATATATTAAATTGCTTTAACATGTGGAAGAATTACTGATTGAGTATTTACAATAAAGAGCAGTAAAGAGTATATATAAAATGAGCTGCATACAGGAAAGCAATCAAAACAAACATAGATTCAGGACAAGGGACATGCATAAAGTTTGGTTCTAGTTAACATAGATTCAGGAAAGCAATCAAAACACAATTAGAAATTGCAAACATTACACTATTCACAAATCACAAATGATAAGTCAAAAATATCAAAACGGCATATTCTGTTTACCCTTAGTGACAGTTTGGTATATTTTTTTTCCAACGACATATTAGTATATTATTTTTTTCTCCAGCGACATATTAGTATATTATTTTTTCTCCGGCGACAAATGGGCCTCAAATTTGGTCGGAACCAAATTTCTGGCAAAATTTCTCAAGTGACGTCTCACTTGATGTGAACATGACTGCCAGCGTGGCTCCCAGTGTCAAACAATTACAACTAATCCCATTCAAAACCATCCCCTTCTCCATCACTCTCTCAAATAAACTCAATAGCTTCATCTATCTTCCCACATTTCTTCAAGCTCTCCATTAATGAGCTACAAGTCACAACAGCTCTATCCTCATTCCCGTAGTTGCATAAAGCTCCGACTAACACGAGGCAATCAAACCCATCATGCACCGCTCCTTCCGCTAAGAAATCCATCAAAATCTCGCACATTTCTAAAGCTCTCACTTCTCTACAAAGCCCATTGATCAAAATCTCGCAAGTCGCTACCGAAAACGATTCGAGCTACCGATGAGGATGTTAAAAGTGTATACATCGGGCTTGACTCGATCTTGGATCATGGTGTGGTACCATTGTAGAGCTTGTTGGTGTTGGTTGTGTTTGGTGAAGGCGGAGATGAGGATGTTGTAAAGGGAGGCAGCGGGTCGAGAGTCAAGGGAGGATTTGAAGAGGTTGAAGGTCTGGAGGCGTCGGAGAGGCAAGAGGAGCGGAGGAGAGGAAGAGGCGGAGGAAGGAGATTGAGGGGCTAGGGTTTGGGATTGGAGCTGATTTGTGACGCTAAAAGGCAGTCACGTTCGCACCACATGAGTCGTCACGTGAGAAATTTCGCCGAAAATTTGGGTCCGGCGAAATTTGAGGCCCATTTGTCGCCGGAGAAAAAATAATATACCAATATATCGCCGAAAATAATATATATATCAATTGTCACTAGGGTAAACAAAATATACCAATTCGGTATTTTTTGCCCAAACGATAACTCCACAAGAAAATGCATATCCCAACTAATTTCAATGTGTGCATTCAACACGTTCAAAATCCTATTTTTCTCACACGGTCATGTGCAAAATGCAATCTTTTGTTCGCATGCGCATGAACTAAAACTAATGTACTAGATGATCACCTATCAAAATAATACCATATCAAAATTGTACTAGGAATATATAATTATGAGAATAAGAAGGATTTCACGAGCATCTACTCAAATGATAACCTAAACAAAAACAGAAATAAGGAGATCTCACTTCTCAATTGCTTCCTTAAGATCCGCCGTCGCCTCCTCGGCCTCCTGCAAAGTCGGAGCAGGTCCAAACACCAATCTCGGTGGCGCTCCGAACCACCGCCTCTCCCTCCCATCCCTCCGCCGAACTCCCAGTCATCCAAGCTCCCACCCGCGCGCACATGAACCACCCCCGCGAAGCCCCGCCGTTCTTCTCCGAGCGGTCTTAATAGCTCCTCCTCCCATTTTTTTATTGATCGATCGAGGGAGTAGACCCTAACCCTAGATTTGGGAAACTGTAAAGGGCAGATTTTTTTGTTTCTGAGGAGTGAGGAGAGGATAAAATTTTAGATGGGAGGAGGACGAAGATGAAAGGGGGAAACAAACCGACTCCGAAAGATGCCGCGAATGTGGGGTCCAAGAGGCGTGAGAGAGAGGGTGCGCCTCCTGGTGTCCTTAGATTTGTAGTTAATTAATCCCAATGATTTCAGACTAACGTTCTAGATAGGTACAATCTCACAGTCACAGAATATAAAAAGACCCTACAATTATGATGGTGGATAATTTATGCTTTGGGATACAGATTTCAAGTTGAGGGTACTATTTTCAGTTTGGAAAAATGATTTAAGGACCCAAAATATGGGATCAATGAAGGGGATAGGGGATGTGTCCCTTCCCTATTGCATAATGAGTTGGCATGACCAACTCATTCTGCAATAGGGTTCAGTTTGAAAAAATGATTTAAGGACCCAAAATATGCGACCAATTGAGGGGACATGTGATGTGTCTCCTCCCTATTGCATAATGAGTTGGCATGGCCAACTCATTATGCAATAGGAAGGGGACACCTCATCTGTCCCCTCCCTTGGTCCTATATTTTGGGTTCCCGTAGCAGCACTCTTCAGTTTGACTATTTTGCTTCAAGCTGACCAATTATGTGGCATGAGCATCGCTGGTGATCCGGACGGTAAGGGGCTGTTTGGATTGATTTTTTGGATAGGTAAAAGAGGGGAAAGCTGTCAAAAATGTCAGCTTTTTGACAGTTTTCCCTCAAAATCATCTCTATAAAGGTAATTTTGGGAGAAAGCTGCCAAAAAACTGACATTTTTGGCAGCTTTCCCCTCTTTTACCTATCTAAAAAATCAATCCAAACAGCCTCTAAGAAGTTTTGATATGAGAGATGCTACAGTCACGTCCTAAATCATACCCTTAACCACACTCCTCTCTTGTTACAATTTACTGGGGCCGACATGAGAATTTTTTTAAATTCTCATATTGGTCCCAGTGCACTGTAACGATAGAGGAGTGTTATTGGAAGCGTGGTTTAAAAACGTGTCTCTAGCGTTTTCCTTTCGATATGGCTTCCTCAGACTTAGATTCAATTTCCGATAACTTTATTATAAAAAATAAAAATAAAATTATATGTGTTAGGATGTTCTACAATGCATAGGCGAACAATTGCATCATCTACAGTCTACAGACACTTTTTTCCCCCTTGATTTTCTTTTCAAATCGAGATATGAAAGCAAAAGCTTAAAACTTCTGGTCAAGAGTACAGGACACAAATATTTATGAAAGTGCTAGTTTTTTTTTATATTTTTTATACTTCTTATTAGAATAGAGGAAAACAGGAAAGTCCATTTACACACTTATAAGATTAAAAAAACCATGAATTTTGATTCAAGTGTCAAAATGATCCGGAATAGACGAAAAATCTATTTTCAAGCTCCATGATATGTCAAATTGGGTCTACCCGTTTGACATGGCTTCGAACCCCAAAATCCTCTATAGCAAACTATCATTGCCGCAATTTTTTTATTGATGATTTTTTTTATTTTAGTGGTTGAGATATACGTGCAATGCACGTGGTTGAATATCATAAATATTTAAATTGGTAAAAATAGAATAAAAATAAAAAAGAAAATAAAGTAAAACTTTAATAAAGTTTTATCAAACCGAAGTAAAACTGTAAATTACAAACACCTTAAAAATATTACAAAGAAGTAGTTGAGGAACAACACTTGAACTTGAAGAATTGATCAACTTTTATTCTTTGAAAAATATTACAAAGAATAATATCATCAAGTTATGGTTCAACATTCTCCGTATCATAAAAATAAAATTGAAAGTATGAAGAATTATTTTTTACAAAATTAGATCGGGGAGATTATGATATATTTCCCCATGTACTCTAAATATAAAAAAAATTTATGCAAAGTCTCTATCATATCTTGCTCCAAATAATGTGAATGAAAAATACTATTATAACTTACTTGCCTAGAGCAATTGTATTGTATATAGGACATATAACTCATCTCGAATATCCACATATGTTAAGTGGGTTTTGTTGTTGCTATAGCAAAATGTTAGAAGCTTGTATTCAAATTTTTTGGCTCTATAAAATACACAATAATTTAGAGTGTATAGCTTATATATTGTAAAGAACATACTGGTTCATAAAGAATTTACCCTAATAACAATATTATTACAACGATACTACTATTTAGTATTAAATCAATTTTATTATATAAGATTATATGATCATTTTTAATAAATTATAATTATATATATATATATATATAATTTAAATTATTAAGCACCAAATATTAGTTCATGTGAGAAAGTAAAGTAATCTATGGTCTATATATCTATTTAGTCAATCAATTAAACGTATTAAAATTATGATGACAACAGTCAAAATTATATGGTGGGTTCACATTAAATATAATTTATAAAAAATAGTACATTAAAGTTAAAATTATTTTAACCACTATATAGATTGTCTGAAAATATTTGTATATATAAACTATACTGCTTAGGAAGAGTGATGTGTACTTAACTTTGCCCAAATACATCTTAAGAATGAATTACTCTTCATCATCATTATTAATTGATGAATATATGCATTACACTAAAAACACAATAATAAGTTAGAAAACTACAAAAGAAACACCTTTAAAGTTTTAAAAATTATAAAAAATACCCTAAAAATTTGTAATTTATAAATATACAAAACTATTAAATATTACATTGAAATCAAGGAATTACAAAAAATCATTGAAAATTTTCAAACTTTGGAGGGCAATTTGCAATGTACTAAACTTTTAGGATGTTTTTATAAATTTTAAATTTAATAGATTTTTAATTAGTTATGTTCTTTCCAATAAAGTTAAGGCTAATATGGACCATGAAAAGTATTTCCTAAACCTATACTTTTAAAGAGAGTATAATATTTTTATAATTTTTTAATTTTCTAGGGGTTGTTAGTAAGTTTGTTTATTCATTTTAGTGTCTATACATTATAAATTATCATGGTGTTTTTTTGAAAATTATAAATTTTAGGGGTTTTTGTAATTTTTTAAGCATATATGCCATTTCTACATAATTTTTTTATAGACTATTTATAATCCATTTGTTTTCAATATACTAATGTGTTTGTAATTCTTAAGATGTTTTTTTTTATAAAATTTTAATTTTGAGTTTTTATTTGTAATTTTTGAAACTTTAAGGGTGTTTTCTATAAATTATAAATTATATAGGGAATATTTACAATTCTTATATTTTAGTGTAATGTTAGGTTGGAAATTATCAGTATTTTTATAAATTTTACAATTTTGAGGGTTTTAATTTATAATTTGTAAAAAGTTTAGAGTGTTTATTGTATATTTCATAAATTTTTGGGGTTTGTTTGTGTTATTTATAAGTTTTTAGTATCTTTATAGGTGCTTTTTATAATTTTTGAATTTTTAGTGGTGTTTTTACAATTTTAAAAACTTATAAAATATTTTCTCCAAAGTTAAAAAACTTTTAGTTTCTATTTAGGATATGTTTTCCAGATTTCTCACTAAATTAAAATAAGTAAAATTTATAATTTTCAATATGTTTTAATAAAACTTTGAATTTGTAGGGGTGTTTTTACAATTTAAAAAACTTAGAGGATACTTCTTACAAAGTCTAAAAAATTTTAGGTGCTGGCTAGCATATGTTTTTTTAGATTTCTCTGTAAACTGAAATAAGTAAAGGATTTGAATTATATCAAATGTATCTCCTTTATCTAATACATGTTAAATATCATTATAAATAGGATAAATTATTTAATTACCAATTCAAAAAAGATAAGATAATTAAAATAGATTAGAATAATAATGTAATATTCAAAAAAAGTTAAGAGTAATATTAACCATGAAAAGATTTTCCTAAACTCGTACTTTTAAAGGGAGTATGATTTTATTTTAGTGCTTTATGTTTGGTCTCAACCATTCTGTATTCATGTTTAGGTCTATAGTTTAAGGGATTTATGTTTTGATTTGACTTTTATTTCTTTCCCTCTTGTTCACTGAACTCGTGAACTCAAGTATGAACCAAGCCTGTTGAGATTGAGTCAATCGGACCCACATGTGATCCAAGATAAACTTCTATGATTGTAAGGAGATTGAAAATTATTGTATATTGTAGAGTCCTATTGTAATTTTACAATTAGGGTTATGAGTCCTGTTATAACTAGGAATGCTAAGTAATATTTATTTTAGGACTATAAGTATTGTTATAATTAGGAATATAAGTCTTGTTGCAATTAAGAGTATGATTCCTATTTGTATTAGGAGTAGAAGTCTTATCATAGTTAGGAGTATGAATCTCTTTCCGCGTTATTTAAATAGAAATTCTGTGGGAGTGTTCTATTTAAATAACAAGTCCTATTATTATAATAACTCAGATTAGTGTGCAATTTAGATTTGAGATATCTCTTTAAAGAGATTAACTGTAATGTGTAAATCAAGTCAGTTGATAAGCAATCATATCATATCATATCATATCATACTCTCTTTAAAAGTGGAAGTTCTAGGAAAACTTTACTTGATCAATTTTATCCCTAATCTTATTAAATATTAGTATTCTTATTCTAATTATAATTGGTTGCCAACTAAAGCTATTAAGTCAAAATTAAACTTCTAAATTAAATCTCTTTTCATTCAAAACTAAATAATAAAAAACCGATCTAATTAAAAATGGTTGACAAGTAAAGAGTAGAAAGAATCTTACAGGGCATTAGCATTGTAAACATAACACGCATTGCATGTATAAATATCAACCAACTAATTGATACCAAATTATGAAATTAATTTATTTATTAACAACAATTGATTGATCAAAAGATT